GCCCCAGCGCCACTTTGTCCACCACAAATCCCACTTGACCGGGATAGAACCCGGGCTGCCATGGTTGGAAATGACTTCAGCTGTGACCCCCAAGATGGAAGAAACATATTCCTCTGAAATGCTGATAAAATTCTACCACATATCACATCCCAGAAGAAAGCATTCTTTGAAGTCACTACTGTGAGAACCTCAAATGTTAGTTTTGATTATCATTTGAGAATTTAATGAATGAGTTCCTTCTTCAAGACGAATCATTGTAAACCGTAATTATTTAGTAAGATCTGTTATGTGTAACTGCTCTTCTTGTTACTGCAAAATGAAATGATATAAAAAAATGTGTTTTATTTAAGTATCACTCTTAGTTCCTGTTACTTCTATTACCAATTTTTTGTTGTTCCATCAGCGATAAGAGAACTTAAACTGTCTTTCCTAATGATCTTTCATATTGGGCCTCATAACACATCACATTTAGGAATAGCCAACAATAATCTTCAAACTCAAAGAATTCAATGACGACGACAAACTGGTATTTCACTGCCCTCCACATAACTTCCTGAGACAAACTACTGCGCTATCTCTGAACAGGTTATTTTGCTTACATCTTAATTCTTTTAACGAGACGAAGAACACCTGTTGTGTGAACACAAGCAACTGAAGCTGAAATTACGACCTCCATCAAACGATCCACTCTTACTAAGAAAGTTATCAACCAGTCTGGACTACTATCGCACTGCATTTACCTGTTGCCTTACCAACTTTACGCCAAGCAAAATACCAAGTACTCACGTGCCCCATCAAACAAGGCAAGATATGTTATGTAGGGAAATGGGACTGACCTAGACCTCGTGCGGCCACATCGGTGGCAACCAGGATATTCGACTTTCCGTTGCGGAATTCTGTCAAGAAAATTCAAACATGAAGCAAGAGTTAGAATTTGTTTATATAATTTCAGTCTTTAGAAAATTAAATTATGAAGTAAGAAAAACTACGACTTTCAGTAATATCAATTTTATACATCACTACAGAATTAGAAAAAAACATAGCAGAATGTACTCTGAAAAGATCTCTGCCCAAAGAATAAAAATGACTGCATAAAGAAAATTTGACAGGAAATTATTAAAAACAATCCACCATATGCACCTAAATTCAACAAACTGAAAAAGTTCTGGAACCCCCATGCCCACATTTATATTTATTTACTATACTTGACGGAGCAACATGCGCTACACAATGCTACTCTCGACACCAGAGCTGTCCAACTTCTAACTGTTGAGAGGCCCACACTACCTTACATACTTACCACTGTAACACATCATAAAAGTACATTTTGCAACCTTCCCTTGCTTTAACATGCAGCCACACACTATTCTGAATGATCTATAAAATGTGCAGAAGTTTTGGAACAATTCCCATCTCTGAACAACCCTTCCACTGCTCCACTCGCATACTTTTTCACTGAATATGCAAACTGGCAACAGGAATTTGCTTTCAGCCAAGACTGAGAATGTTATGCCAACTGAAGTACATGTAACTCCAACTGCCAATGTGGCAGTTATCTGCAACTATGAACACCTTCCTCAGAATACAAGAAAAAGGACACAACTACTAGGCGAAAATTTTGAACACAGAGGAAGATAAAGACCCCTAAAATTAACATAAGACTTACTTCTGTAATATACAAAACCAAACCAAAGAACACCCCTTTTAACATTCCTCAAACTATCCTTTGATTTCAATAAATACATTTCAATTTAACGTTTGGTGTTCAAAATATACTATCACTGAGAAAAACAAACATCTCAATGTGTCAGGCTCAACATCACATTGAATTTAGACAGTAGAAATGCATACCTCTCAGAACGTAATCTCTTTCTTGCTGGGATTTGTCCCCGTGCATGCACACAGCTGGGTACCTGCAACAAACACACTTGGTCCCAAACTTTGTGTTTAACATTAAACTTAGCTTCTGTAACGATCAAAAAAGAATTCCGATGTCTCATAATAAAGTTATAATGGCAAGTTTATTTTACGATTTGACAGACGACTTGTGAGAGCTGGCGCGCACAAGTCAGAATACTGAATATGCCATGGGATAAACAACCGAAATTTCGTCTTTTCTCCAGAGCATCCCGACTGGCTGAGGCACATCGTCTCCCATGTAAAGGGAATGGTGGGAGTCCTTCCCTGGGGATAAAGCAGCCAGATATGAAACTGACCACTCACCTACACTCAGCACTGAGATTAACAATACATGGAGCTGAATGTCCACTCCCCCATACACGTTAACGGTGTGGTGCTTAATTAAGAGCAAGGTCAACTCTAGC